TGTAGTCATACGGAGTTGCAAATGAAGCCCGGGATTTGAATTTCCTGGGCTTCATTTGCATAAAGCCAGCTGGCGCCATGTTTAAATGCCGGCTAGTTCGGACCCCATGCCGCGCGGCTACACGCGGCACGGACTAGCTAGTTCGGATTAGAAGCCTAATCCGAACTAGCTGTACACCTCGCGGAAGCCTAATCCGAACTAGCTAGTCCGTGCCACGTGTAGCCGCGCGGCACGGGGTCCGAACTAGCCAGCATCTAAAAATGGCGCTGGCCGGCTTTATGCAAATGAAGCCCAGGAAATTCAAATCCCGGGCTTCATTTGCAACTCCATATGACTACATTACCCCCCCTAGTTCGAACTAGGGGGGTAGTGTAGACATACCCTAAGTGCCCTCTCCAGCAGGCTAGCGGATTGGCCCAAATAAGCTGCTTGTCTCTCCCAGTCCTGCCCTCGGCATGGAAAGAAGCCGAGTCCACCACAGGAAATCGCCACAACCTAGCATGCCGGAGCCGCCGGAACGGGGAAGTGGCAGGTGCTTGAGCCGCCGGAGGCTGAGTGGGGTGGCAGCCATGTGTGTGCACGGCCCCAGAAAGACTACTAGCATCATCCTTCCTGCGGCCGGTGTGCAAGGCAGGGGGAGGCATTGCCTTCCCAAACTGCCTGCCTGGCCCCGCCCATGCTCCGCCCCCAGAACACCTACTATACGTGCACAGGGGGTGGAGTGTTGCAGCTCCCTCCCTGTGCTCCAGGACCAGGGAGGCTGGGTTTGCACACCCTCCTCTCCCTGTGCTAGGGTGTGGAGGAGATGGCTTGGCTCTGATGGGGGCGAAGCCTCGACAGATGGGGTGGGACGGGGGCTTGCCTCCCCCAGCCCTACTTTCACCCACCACCCGTGTGCCACAGCCTGTTCACAGAAGTGGTAGCACCCTGAAAATTAGACAAAGAGAATGTTAAAGGGGCTGACTTGACTATAGTGGATGAGACACCACCCTGGTAGACAAAGATTTGCTAACAGGCTCGTCCGTCTAACAGGCAAAGGTCTCACGTGATCTCCTGGTGGAAAACTGAAGTGAGACAAACTCAAAGTTGTGTGTTGTCAACAGGGAGTGTGTTGATTCTGGCGCGTAGCTGCCTGACGGCTAGCCATGCTGTCATTGTCACTGAAGGGCTGTTGGTATGTGTTGGACTTTTACTCCTTTTATCTGAATAAAGAGCATTTCCTAGCGATTTAAGATACAATTCAACACAGGCCAACTGACTGTGTGGTTGTACAGTCCACAGTGCTTTGACAACAACGTGTCTTCGGGTGGTACCTTAGAAACGAACCGATATTTAGGATCTGTAGCTTTTGCGGGTAAAACCCACTTCGTCGGTGCTTTGCGGAGCTGTTACTCACTAGGCAAACATTGACATGGCTACATCGGGCCTTCCTCCAGCTAGCTGGAACCCAGAACCGTGTGCGATTGCACACGGTTCTCTGCTCTAAGTAGACAACAAAAAATTGTAAAAAGGGCACTGAGAAAGTAGCCAGTATGCTTCCTGCCCAGTAAACCTCTCCTCCCAGCTCTACGAGCGAGCTCTCTCTGTGAGAGAGCATTGGGGAACATCCCGAATTATTGGCTGTTGTGTGAACCCACGCTGGGCTTTGTCACACAGCCTGCAACGGGCTGGGGAGTGTTGCTGCAGGCGTTAATGAACCATGTGGTTACACTTAGGTGGCTCCCAGGAGAAAGCCTTGAAATTGCCACTCTTACAAAGGGGCATCTTGCTGATACTGCTAGTTAGGAAGGGGCTTTTAACCTTCCAAATTAAAAAAAAAAAAAAAACACCCGAAACATCTTAGCACAGGAAGTAGTAACCTCTGACCTGGGAGGCCGATGCTTCTGTGTGATGCTGTCTGTACCGATCTTTTGGCAGAGGCCTTGGATAACATTTTCAAGAGCTCCCTAAGTGACTACAAGCTGACTTCTTATTGCCAGTGGGTGGTTTTCAGAGTCTTCACTGGCTGAGGCACATGGAAATGGAATTTAGCCTCCTAAGCCACTAAAGGGGCTCTGAAAAATATGAGTCCTTGTTTTCTTCTGCCGCGGCACCGCACGGCGCAGCGAAGATGGCTCAATAAGAGTAGCGATATTTCCCCACGGACATCCCTCAGCAAGCCAGCGTAGGCGTTTCTATAGTAACCCTCTTAAATTGTTTGTCCTGCAGGACAGACTAGCATATTCTGAAATGTACATCGCGGGACTATGCCAGTGGAGAACGGCGCCACGTAACCGCACGGGGATGTCGCAACGCGCTGTCCGCACCCCCGTGAATCCGAGAGGGCGGTGGGCATAGTTCAAAGCCAGGCTTTAGGGTGTTGCAAAGCAGAGGAGGCCTGTGTCACCCTTATAACACACAACAGTCAGATTCCCACACACCGTGTCGCCTCTCCCCTGCCAAGTCCTGAACTGCTTGGCACAGGGCTGGGCACGATGCGGACCCGGCTGCCTAACACTTCGATCCAACCCGCGGGCTGCATCTGGCTGCTCTCCATTTGTATCTTGCCGCCTGTGTCACCAAAGCTTCAGGCGGTGGCTCAGGCAGCAGGATCCTATTTAAATGGCTCACGGTTGTGGCGCTACCCCAGCAGGGGCCGGAGCCGCGAGCTCTTTAAATAGCCGTGGCAACCCATGGCGGCTGCTAGGCAATGCAGTAGTGGTGGGGCTGGGAGCCATGAGCCCTTTACTGTGTTTTTAATTCAAAGCCTCTGAACCTAGACAACTCTAGGGCAGGAGGTGAGTCCCCAGCCCCGCCCCTTCCATCCCAAGCCCCCCCCTTCCATCCCAAGCCCCGCCCCTTCCACCCCAAGCCCCGCCCCTTCCATCTCAGGCCCCGCCTCTTCCGAGAAATGGAGCCGGTTCGTGATCATGTACCAAAATTCATTAAGTCCCTCCCCCCATGAAAATTATTGCCCACTCCTGACTTAGCATATAACTACTTTCCCTTTTTCCAGCCTGTCTTTAAGGGTAAGGGCACAGTATGAACCTAATGTCCTAACATTCTGAAAACGTCCACGCAGTGTTCAGCGGCAGTCAAAAAAGCAAATAGCATGTTAGCAATCATTAAAAAAGGGATAGAGAATAAGACCGAGAATATCTTATTGCTTCTCTATAAAACCATGGTACGCCCACAGCTTGAATGCTACGTACAGATGTGGTCACCTCATCTCAAAAAAGATATATTGGCATTGGAAAAGGTTCAGAAAAGTAACAAAAATGATGAGGGGTTTGGAACGGGTCCCATGTGAAGAGAGATTAAAAAGACTTGGACTTTTCAGCTTAGAAAAGAGGAGACAAAGCGGGGATATGACAGACGTCTACAAAATCATGACTGGTGTGGAAAAAGTGAATACGAGAAAGTTATTTACTTATTCCCACAATATAAGAACTAGGGGTCGCCAAATGAAATTAATAGGCAGCAGGTTTAAAACAAACAAAAGGAAGCTTTTCGTCACTCAGCGCACAGTCAACCTGTGGAACTCCTTGCCAGAGGATGTGGTGAAGACTAGGACTTTAACAGGGTTAAAAAAAAAAGCTAGATAGATTCATGGAGGTTAGGTCCATCAATGGCTATTAGCCAGGATGGGTAGGATCGGTGTCCCTAGCCTCTGTTTGTTTGGAAATGGATGACAGGAGAGGGATCGTGTGAGGATTACCTATTGTGTTCCCTCCCTCTGGGTCATCTGGTATTGGCCACTGTAGGCAGACAGGATACTGGTCTAGATGGACCTTTGGTCTGACCCAGTGTGGCCGTTGTTATGATCTTAACTAAATCGACCAGCAGCTAGTGCAAACAAAGGGGTAGGGAAGGGAATTGGGAGGAAGTTTGGGAAATTCCAGAGAACAATCACCCTCATTGTTCCTCTGCTGCACCTAGAGTCAGGTGAGGAGCTCAGGTGTGGGTCAGGTGCATTAGTGTCTCCGCTGGCACAAACTGCGTCGCTCCAGGCCCTGGAGGAGTTTTGACTTGACTCTTTCTTTCTCTCTCAGTAGCGTTTCACAGCCCACCTGCTAAAGTGAAGAAAGAGCTGTCCCCCAGCCATAAGCAGCCATTTGGGTACCGCAATGGCGAGCAGTGCCTTTACGCCAGGTAACGCGGCTTGCGTGCAGGGGGGAGGGAAGGGCGCGTGATGGCACCGTGGCCCGCTGGGTCTCTGCGGACATGCTAGTGCAAACTGATGGATGGGTTGCTTCCTATTTCCTATGGCCCGCTTGGCCTCCCGTTCATGTCTGAGTCCAGTGGTTCTCAAGCTTTTGGGCTTGCGCCCCTCCCCTCTCAACACAGACCTCTCCGCGGACCACCAGCCAACCACCCATGATGACAGCAGGAACGGCTGAGAGTGGGGTCTGGGTGGGAGGAAAGGTGCAGAAGCAGCAGAGGGTGGGGTCCGGGTGGGAGGGAGGGTGCAGGAGCAGCAGAGGGTGGGGTCCGGGTGGGAGGGAGGGTGCAGGAGCAGCAGAGGGTGGGGGCTGGGTGGGAGGGAAGGTGC